TATGTTTTTATTTGTTTATTTAATTTAATTTTTAGAAGAGTTTTCCTTTAATTATTCTTTATCTTTTGAAATATCTTAAAATGTATTAATTTAATAATATTCATAATATTATTGCATTAGAATATTTACGCAATTTACAATGCAGAAGCAAAATTATAATAAGAAAATAAAATTAAGCCCTTTACATTTTCACAACTTTCTGTGAAATTCTCAAACAAAACCTCAACTAAACTTTAGCCACAAAGCAAATTACGTTTTCTATAGTTTCACTGAACAGATAAATGCCTCGAGCTATTATGAACTTTTATACATTTCATTCAGCAAATTTTACAATCAAATTTATGCATTCAAGTCCAAGCCCTTCACGTAAATGAGCCAATTACTGCCAACAGTGGAAAGAAGAATTTTCGGGAACGGGAACTAACCAGCAATTTACGCCCTCAACTCGGTTGTAACTGAGCGCGTGTAGTTAAAAGCCAGAAAAACTTCTCAAGTCGTCAAATTTACACACGCACACACACCCCCACACACACACGCACAACTGCAGGCGTGCATAAGTCAGGCGCACGCAAATTGAAATATTACGTATACGCAACATTGCCAACCAAAATGCTGTAGCAAGAAGCAAAAGTTTTTTATGAAAATTTCATGTAGCTTTGCTCTTTTGACAGTGAAAAATAAAACAGCAGCAGCTGTAGTCGGAAGCAAAACAAAAAACAAAAAAAAAAGTACAGAAAACTTAAAAAAAAAATAGAGTGGGAAACAGCAGGACTTGAAAGACACCTCGCTACACACACACACACACATACACTTGGCGCGCGCCTTCAGCTCTTCCGACTGACTACTTTAATTGTCTGAAATGCCACAAAAATGCGCTCAAGTTTTGAGGCTGGCGCCTGCCAGCTGCCACAAGTGCTACAACATTTTCATTTTCACATTTTCTCAACTTGTTTGGCTTGTTGTTGTTGTTAGTGTAGCTGTTGTTGTTGCTATTGTTTTTTGACGCTAAACAAAATTTATTTTAGCCACACTTGAACAATATTTGCAATTGTTGTTGCTTGTTTTTTCGGTTTTTGTGGTGGAAAAGTTCTTGTTTTTTTTTTTTTTTTTTTTTTTATATATATTTTTTTTTTTTTTTTGAGTTTTGTATTCGTTTTGGCAGCTTTACACTATGCAATGCTGCGGCGCCTAATTGAAAAACTGCATGAAAATGACGTTGCTTTTCCATGTAAGCCTCACGCCCAAATCCCATTAACACGCGCGCGCGCTCCATCGCGCTGCTTTTTGGCCACACAGGCAATTAAGCCGTCCGCTTGCCTGAAAATGTCAATTTAAATTAGTTTCTGCCGGCGACACAGAGCGGGGATGGGGGCGGGGGCGTGACGAGACGACACGTTGCACGTTGCAAAGTCAATTAAAATGTTACGCATACGCGCCGTGTGCTGCATATTCATTTGCCAGCTGACCAGCTAATTAAGCAAACCAAAGTACAAAATACGTTTAAAATATAATATGTATATGCTAATCTCATGTTCTCTTCTTCTTGTCTTTTTCTGATTTAACAGACGCGAAATGCAAACGCTGCGCGCCACCCACAGCGGCAACAAGGAGCGACTCACCGTCGAGTGGCTGCAGCAGTCGATATCGGAGATACGCAAACAGCTGGTGGAGCTGCAACGCACCGCCGGCAGCGTGGCAAAGGATGTGCGACATGGCGGCGCTGCCTACGAGGATCTGGCGACCATACGCAGCGACTATCAGCAGCTTAAGCTGGAGCTGGCCGCACAGCGTGAACGCCAAGAGCAAACGGAGGTGATTGTTCAAGAGCTGCGCGAGGAGCTCCTGCAGCAGGAGCAGGAATACAAACATGACCTCAATAGGCAGCAGCAGCAACAACAACAACAACGGCAACTAAATGCCAATGCAATTGCCAAGGAACAGCAGACGGAGCAGTCGGCCAGCATTGAGGAAGATAGCAGCAGTCGGGAAAGCAGCCAGGAGGTGAGTAAACACACACACACATACGCACCGTAGTCCGTGCTCAACTTTATGCTAATGATCAGATAAGCACGCAGCACACACACGCACACACACACACGCTCAGGTGTGTGCTTCAAGTTTTATGGCTTTGAAATTTTTGCCTTTGTTGCTTCTGCTGCTGTTTTAAGTGCGCTCATAAAGAGGCCCGTCGGCCACCCTCAACGCCCCCGGCCCCTCTCTCTCGCTCTCTGTCCTCAACCTCCTATTGCCATTATCTGCCCATTTTATGCCTTCTTTTATACCTGACTGCCATGGCCATTGTTTTGGGGTAGCTCTCGTTTGCCAGCTGAGACACGATGTGCTAACGAGCCGAGTGCCCAAGCCGACTCGACTACATTGCCTGCCCTGCCTCAAACTTCCACTCCCTCTCTCCCTCTCTCTCTCTCTCACACTCTTTGTGTGTCCTTACTTTTTAATGGCGCCTCATATGCTGCTTAAATTACTCATACGCACCGCAGGACGTCAACATATTTAATATTTAATGCTAACGCCTCGCCCCGGGCAGCCACTTAGACCCACACGCACACACACACACACACACACACACACACACACTACACACACACACACACTTGTCTGTTCCTGTTTCCATGCCTAACTGAATCATTAACATTAAGGTCAGGCAAATCGCAGACAACGCCGACGGAACAACAGCATGCTAACAACTTTTAATTATAATTAAAGTCAATAAAAATGCGCCTGGCAAAAGTGAAAGTAAGATGAATTCTTCAAGGGCAGCCACCTTCATCAGATACCCTGTGTAGCATAATGAAATAGTTAGCATAATTAAATTGTTGAAATATGCCAACTAAACATGCAATGCCAGCTCGCAAGAGAGCAGTAAAAGCCCTAGAGAGAAGGAGAGTGAGAGAGAGAGAGAAAGAGACCAACAAAGAAAATATTTATGGTATAAAATGTATAATATATATTTATGCATTATTATTTAATTTATTTATTACATAAGAATATGTATTTAAAGCTCTTCATATAAATTTATTAATTTGCATTTTACATGGTAAACAGTGCTATTAATTTTCAAGCAATTTATCAACACTACATCCATGTTAAGCTTTTGAGTGGCTTAAAACACAATTACATTTACATTGCTGCAAACATTTCTTAAATTCTTTTCATTTCATTGAATAAAATCTCGTAATGGTGCTATAAAATATATTTTAAATGGTCTTATCCGCAAAAGAAGAAAAATCAGTAAATTTCCACTTGTGTATAACAGTTCGTATAACAGTTTACATAGCAATTTAAACAGTATTTATTATAACAGTCTGTCAAAGATTCATTATAAGAACTTTACGATGATTTCTAAAATAAAAGCTTATCTGCTTCAAATTGGCTTAAAATATTGTAATTAAAGCGATTTTCATGTATGTTGTATGTATGTATGTATGTATGTATGTATGTACATATGTATGTATAAAGTTCCAATATAACTTCACTGTTAGTTGCAGCTCTAATTCCAGCTTTAATTCTAGCTTTAGTTCTAGCTTCAACTCAAACTCCAGCTCCAGCTTAATTTCTAGCTCTTGCTCTTGCTCTAGCTCTAACTTAGCTCCATCTAGCTCTAGCTTCAACTCCATCTGCCGCTCTACTTCGAGTGCCTTCTCCAGCTTCAGCTACATCTTTATTACCTGCACTAGCTCTAGCTCCAGCTCTAACAGTCACCAGTTTAACTCTGCTTCAGTTCTTGAAGCTCGTAGTGCTCCATTTTCGATTAACTAAAAGGCATATCTGTTGACCAAGCATCCAAAATTTGTTGTTGGCCTTCTACTCAAACAAACTAACGAAAGATATTTGAGAGCACAGCCAACAGGTAAAGCCGCAAAATGTGTTTCTCAACTGAGGGCACTGCACAGAAAAACATGAAAAAAATTCAGAAAAAAATACAAAAAAAAAATTTAAATTGGAACGTTGTGCGCTTCATTAAAAGGATTATGCGACGCCCATATGCATGCGGTTGCCTCACAAAATATGTCAGCAAAATGACCCAAAAAAAATACTACAAAATAAAGAAAAAAAAAAGTAAACCGAAAACCGAAAACTGGTTTACAGACACCTGTTTGCCGAATGTGCCCCCTGCCTTCAGCCTTCAGCCTCCAGCGTCATGCTTCATGCTGCCCTTTGTCGCTTTGAAGTTTCTTGTGATATTTTGCAGAGAAATTTGCTGGACTATGGCTATACCCTGCGCTGCTTGACCAGCTGATTGAAAAGCGAATACAAAGCAATTACATATAGCCACTCAGCCAATACAAATTTTGACCGCAAATTGCAAAAAAGAATTAACCAAAAAAAAAAAAAAAAAATTAAATAAAAAAATAAAAAATAAAGGGCAAAAAAAACCAATAAAACCAATGAAAGCGATAAAACGTGCAGTGAGGCGTTGTAAGCGGCTTTCACAAGAGACGCACTCGAATCAGTTGGAGTGCAGGACGATAACACACACACACACATGCACGCACACACATTAATGTTAAAGGGCACGCCTCATACTTTTCGTATATACATATGTCCATAGAATGAAATTGCTGAAAATTGCAAACAAAAAGCAGGAAATCACCTTTTAATCGCCCTCAGCATTTCTGTGGCAAAGCGAGCAACACACGCACACACACAAGTAGAGTTAGGGTGAGCGGGAGAGGGCGAAAGGTGTGAGGGAGCGAGAGGCAGATTGTGCTGAACAATTTTGGTATACAACGCCAGCTGCGCTGTCAGAGACCAGCCTGACGGCTGCTGTCGCTTTTGTCTTGCCAAAACATTTTGGCCCCTGCACAGGTCCCCACTTTTTATTTTTATATATTTTTTTTTCGTTGTTGGCCAACAAGAGAGCAGATGCTCTTGAGTGCCTTGATAATCAGTTAGTGTGTGAGTGTATGTGTATGAGTGTATGTGTGTCTGAGTGTGATTGTATGCGTTTATGATGCGCGCGATGCTTCAGCACAATTTGATCCTTTTCATTATTTTTAGGTTTTCGCTGTTGTTGTTATTTTATGCCATATTTCCCACCAAAAAACCCAAAACAACAAAGGGCGCTTCAGTCTCTGACAGCAGTTAGCCAAAAACCTGTCGTTTCACCTCGCTAGCTAAAAAAAAAAATAAAAAATAAATAAAAAAAAAAAAAGCAATTTACAAAAAATAAAAATAAAAATAAAAATTTTGTAAGAGCACAGCAAGCCAGAAATTAGGTTAAGTTAGAACAAAGCGCATGGCACAACAATCAAAATTGTGCAGGTGGCCGCAGAAAATAAAAATATAAAATAAAAAATTACATAAAAAAAAATTTTAACATGCGGTAAAAAAAAAATCTCTCTCGCTCCCTCCCTGCGTGTGATTAAATTAAATCAACTGTATCTAATTTGATTAAAATTTGGAAAAAAAAAAACAAAATACATAGAATAGCGCGCAATTTGTGCAAAAATGTGATGCCAAAGCCCCAAAGGGAATGCCTTTGTAGGAATTAAGCTAGCAGAGCAAAGCAAACTAATTTTATTTCAGTGTTAGTTAACATTTTGCAGACATATATATAAGCTTGTATTCCCAAAATTTGTTTTGCTTTACATTGCAGCAAAAAAAGAAAATTTATGGAAAACATGTTCTTAAATGGTTCATAGTTAGGCTAGTTCGCAGTTAGTCAAAAGAGTTATTAAATGGTTTATTACAGGCTCAACGCATTGTTAACTAATTCATGCACAGAGCTCTTTCGCGCTTTTTTTTATGGGAAAAATATTTCTAGGTTATTTTATAACACTTTTTGTATAAAACTATGCAAGCAAATTTTTGCAGACTAAAAAAAAATATTTTAAAAAATAAAAAAAAAAGTTCATAGCTAGTTCGCAGCTAATTCACGAGCTGAAAAAAGTCCAGCTAATTGGATTCCTGTATTGGCTAGCATTTGAAGACTATAAAAAAGAGCTTGCATATTTTTCATAAAAATGTTTTGTTAGAGAGAGCTCAAACCCTAAAAAAAAAATTATAACTCACATAGTTTACAATTTGTTCGCAGCTAGTTTACAAATTTAATAACAAGGTCTCTGCTTTAAAGTTGAACTTAGTCTTAGAAATATATATAAATAACAAATTTTCTTATCTCCACATTTCCTTAAACCTAAATCTAAGCTGCTATCTGAATTTATTAATAGCCCTTTGAAAGCTGCTTCACAAATTCTATTCAAGTCCAAAAATAAATTGCAGCTCCACATTTATTTAAATTGAACCCCAGCTATAACAGATAAAGGGCAAGTTGCCATAGATAATGAAGCCAGCCACAAGTCGAAGTTATCTCCCTTTATCTATCTCTCTCTAACTAGTTGCCTAAATGGCTCGTTCAATTGATAAAAATTTCTATCGAGACAAGTTTACAGTGGGGACAATATTTATTTGGGTCTGGCCGGGGTTATGGCAATTGCCAATCATACTGACAGCTAACACGGGCGAACTGTAAAAGCCTCTCTCCGGTTACATATACATATACATATGTATATACATACATATTTATTTGATACTGTTGGCACTTAGTTGAATTGGCTGGGCTACTAATTGAACTCGAATTGATGGCAAGACCTTTTGGCCAGAGCCCTGAATTGTGAAGACGCAGCTGCCAATGACAAGTGACTCTCGACCCAGAAATGAAAAAGAAACGATGTTCTAATTGCGATGTGTGCAGATTTATAACAGGGCATGTTGCTAGATACCAGCAAAACTTACACACACGCAGCTACACACAAGGACTCCAGCTTAAGCTGTAGTCATTGATATAACAAATCGCATGATGGAAGCTGTCACTAGCAACAGTTGAACGCAAATATTTATCATTGGTTATTGATGCGACTGTAGCCAGCAGCAGGACAGCTGAACAGCCCAATACAAAACGCAAAGCAGCAACAGCAGCAGGAGCAGCAGCAGCAGCAGTGGCAACTGGCAATATACGAGTAAACATATATCGCATACACATATGAGAAACTTGCTGTTAAATTAGCCAGGCAAACAAATGCGGCAAC